CCAGCCAGGCAGCCTTGAACGCGTACAACGGCAGCCAGCCGATGACGCGGCGGAGCACATGCGGCTCCAGGGAGCCTGGCGGGTCAACGCCACCAGTCAGCGCCAGCACCTGCGCCAGGATGTCCTGCACATAGATGAAGGCCTTCCTCGCCGCAAACATCTCGGTCGCCTCGAGTTCTTGCGGCTGCGATCTCGATCTCCCGGAGCATGAACCACGTCGCCAGGCGGGGGCCAGTGGTTTCCTGATAGGTGACCGCCGCGACCTTGTGGACAGTCTCGACCGAAATGGGCCAGGGGGCGACGGGACTGGGCCTCTGCCTGGTTCTGCGGCAGGGCCGCCTTCAGCGCCGTCAGCTTCCGTGCTCTCGGTGCCTCAGCTCGGGGGGCGAGACACCGCTCCGGCCACCGTCGCGATCGGCCCGGTGAGGGGTGTCGCCCGGAACCAGTACAGTCGCCATGTGCTCCTCCTGGCCTGTGCCACGTCGCCAGCTGCTTAAGCACGTGGTCCCACCATGGCATGGCTGCAGAAGGCGATGGCCTTGTCGCCTCTCGGGCCGCTGGCATCGGGGTGCCGATGACCTTTGGGCAGCGTCGAGTGACACTGCCGATAGAAATCCCCGCAGGCGTCTCGTCAGCTTGGCCGGCCGATAACCAGCGCCGGCGTCCTCTCCGCCTGTGACGGCAGCCCGGAGGGTGTCGATCGCCGCAACGGTCATCGAAGGAGCCGTCATCGCGACGAGAGGAAAGCTACCGAGCACAAAGACGTCGGGCGACGCAAAGCCAGCAGACAGCTACGGCATGTGCGTCGAATGAGCCGTGCTTTTTCCTTCACACATAAATGTGTGACACGGCAAAGGAGCACTTTGGCTCTGTCAGAAACATCACGTCTGCCGGCATTGGCAGGGAACATTGCGGAACCTAGGACTTGAAACGAATCAGAGAAGGTGGCAAGTTGCTGTGATACTTCAAGTAGGCGTACCTCGCGAAAAAAGTCGAGCAACTCTCGGTCAACGCCACTGCCCTGCTCTGAATGATCCCTATAGCCCTATAGGCATGCTCTCGGGGTCACCAGCAGAAGTATGCGACAGGGGCAGCAAAGAAGTAGGAATCAAAGCGGTCCAAAATGCCACCGTGCCCTGGAATGAGTGATCCTGTGTCCTCTCAACGGGACGAGATCCACAAGACGCGCTGCGAATGGGCCGTCCTTTACTTGAGCATCTCGTTTCATAGCCTCGGAAGTTGCCGTGACTTTGATGATGGATTTCGAGGGTCCCTCCATGCTTCCAAGCGACAGAAACGACCAAGTCTCCCAAAAGACTCGCGCAGAAGATGAGTGCTCCGACCAGCCTCAGCAGGGATGCGTCCCCCTGGCTTACAAACTTGTCCTTTGCAGCTGGGGCTGTGCACCCGGAGATGAGTGGGTCGGACGGGAAACCCCACGCCTGCAATCTCTGTCCGGCTTTCTCCCTCCTCTACACCGCTGTGCCCTTGCAGAGCCTTGTCGCAAAGGAGCGCCATGAGAACAGAGCCCAACAAACCACAGTAGGCTCCCTCGGCACAGCCGGCCACTGAAACAAATCTGCCGGTGCAAGTGATGCACGGACTTGTTGCAGCACGCCTCTTGCGTTTTGTTTGGACTGACCACGATGAGCGGCCGTTTGCCAAAGTGCTTGCCTCAAGCTGTGCGAGTCTTCGACCAGTCTCTACCAAGTTGTGACAAGGAATTTGCACTGCAATATGCTCAGCCTCCAAAATAGGCACAGGAATCTGCTGCGATGATACACAGCACGCAAGAGACCGTGACCTTGGCTGCAGATTGACTGCGTCATGTGGCAAGTTGCAGCAAGCTTGGGCATCAGCGTCAAGTGCTGCCTGCTATTCCCATGTCTTAAAACTGCAACAGTATGGATGCGACTGTTCTGTTGCCTGACAAGCTGCGCAGCAACCGACACTGCGCTCAAGGGGCCATCGGATAAGGCGGACAAAGTCAGTCAGGAAGCCTGCAAGTGTACAAGGGATTGCCTGAACATAGTCTACGGTCGAAGACGTCTGGCATAGAATCCTTTTTGCTCTTTGGACGTGCTCAGGGCTCCGTGAGAAGAAGTGGCAAGAGCAGATTGTGCCACCTCACCGGCTCCCACCTAGTGTGCGAACCTATGAGTTCTGCCGCACGTAGCTTCCGTGCACATCGAGGTCGGCTAGATCGATATGAGCATGATGAAAGGGAGGGTATACATCATCATCATAAGAAATTCCCTCATACTTGTCCAAAGCTTTGAGATCAATACGGGTCACCTGCTGGCCCTGCATCCGAATGGACGAGACGCGCTCCACAACAAACAAAGCGTAAGCACAAAACATTGTCTCACTTTCTTCTGGGCAAGAAGAAAAGGCCGAAATGTCACGTGCACCCCAGAAGCCCTGAGGAACTCGCACAACCAGCAAGGCTGGACCAATTTTGTCAGTCAAGCGCGACTTCGCGAACTTGAGCTCGGTTGTAGTCGAGAGAAATCGGGGCATGCGCAGCTTTGCACCTTCTTTTACCAAACGGATGGACTCTCCGATGCCCACACCACTGTAGAACACGCCACCCTCGTGATGAACAGAGTTGATGAAGTAGTTCATATCCATAATGATTTGCATTACCGCTTTCAGCACGTTCGGAGCATCTTGGCAGATTGCGCAATTCAAAGCTCTGTGGAAGGGTTTACGCTCGAAAAAGTGGACTGGCCGCTTGCCAGTCCACTCAGAGAAATTGGTGTTGATGAAGCCATGATAATCCAAACCTGGAATATCCTCCGGGTATTGGAACGGCCGGAAAAGGACCTGCGTGGAATTGCCTTCCTCATCTGTGGACGTAATGGATGTAGGCCGTCCAACCTGGCCCAGCTTGAATCCGTCAGGCAGTGACACATCAGGTGGGTAGACCGAGACGCCATCCGCTTCCAGAGCACAGTTTCGAAAGACTCTCCGGACAGCAACCATAGTCCCACTCGTGTACATTCTAATCGTTGCCTGGCGGCCAAGGTAGACAATCACAATGTACAAAATGTGCCGTGCGCTTGCGCTCGCCCGGCCTCTGGATCCACACCAACGCTGAAGTGATCCACTAGGTCATCGTGCCATTGCGGCATCATCTCCTGACATGCGTATATCGTAGGCGCGCAAGTGCCATGTAGCCCCTGAAATGCAAGAGGACAAAATCGAACAAAAATCCTTCTGTTGGACTGTCTCGTCTACTTGCGTCCTCCAGTGCTAGATGACCAGATCCCTCGACTTGTCTGTCCATCGTGACTTCATAATCCTTGTGACAGGTCCAGTAGTGCTGCACGAAAGCGTTTACCGCGCACGTGAATGAGGCCGCCAGCTCTTTGGCATCGACGGGTCGCGGCTCGCCGGTGCCCTGTCAGGGCGCAAGAACCCAAGAGACAGTAACAACTGCACACATCCTCAGATCAGAAAGACAAGACCTGAAAGCGTAATGATCGTAATGCGTCAGAACGAATCCCATCTTCGAATGCGGACTTGACAGCATCCTTCTGTGGATGTGCGTACAGGGGAATGACATCTGAAGCTTGTGCTCGGGCATGTCTGCAAGCCTGCATTCGCTGGTATCGCGTGTTTGCCGTCATTTGCTCGTGGCAGGCAGGCCTGCTAAGCCATCAAATTGATCACTGAGAGGCCGTCTGCCGTCTCGGTGCAAGCGCTGCCAGCTGCGAGTTGAGCGGATGCGATCTGCTATGATCTGCTGCTGCTTACTGGTTGAGGCAGCATCACTGCTATGACACATCCCAGGGAGGTGACCACACGCGGGATCAGGTCAAGACAGAAACCATGCTACATTACTTGCGACAGACTCTGCGGCCACGCGCCTTGTAAAGATGCTGGAAATTGCTCGTTTCTAGGAAATCGGGTGCCACGAAGGGCGATTCACCGTTCCTCTCGGCAAACTCATCCTGCGTGGGCTCCCACCAGACAGCCATGAGCCATGAGCTTCCGCAGTATGCAGTGAAGTACTGGGCTTAGAATTTGCACAGACATGTACTGACGACCGCAGAATTGTCGTGCTTGTCTGCTGTTATTCTACTTATACTTGCTTCCAGATCTTCTGATCATGCACCTCTTCCGGGCGATGAGCAACAATTCCCTTGCAAGTGTTCGCTGCATTCTTGGGCAATCTTGGGCAGCATGTTGAAAGCACCCGATAAAAACGAGATTCAGCTATGGAAACGAGAAAGTCCCGTGCGGATCCTTTTCGACAGACATCTACGAACCTGCCAAAGGCCCATCCTTCTCTAACAAAGTTGAACCATACTTGCTTCGCAAGCTTGAATCGCGGCGGTTAGTGCCGAACTTCTCATCAAAGAGCCTCTGCACATGTTCCAACATTATCCCTTTGGTCTCGGGAAGCCACTGGGCGAGAAGCAGCGCAGCCCGAGCAAAGACCGCAAAGAAGTAGAACGTGAAGAACCCCAGCTTTCCCAGCAACACAGGTGTGCCTTGAGCGATTGCATAGTTGGCAATCCAAGATGCACAAACTCCAGCTGCCATGCATTGACTGCGGTACCGCAGGGGAAACATCTCTGAGCTGTACACCCACACAATGGGACCCCAGCCGTAAGCGAAGTTGGCAACGAAGAAGAAGACCATGCTGACCACCACATAGCTACCGTACTTGCCTGCACCAACATCGGTGTTATTCTCGGGTCTCGCTGTGGCTGCATGGCCGAAAGCAGCGATGCTGGTGGACGCCACCATCATACCCAGCGCGCTCCACCACAGAAGGCTGCGACGCCCGCAAACGTCCGCGAGCAACAAGGCCGGAAAAGTTGCCAAGAAGTTCACCAAACTCGTGCAGGTTTGGAACACAGTTGGGCTGAAACCGGTGTCCAGGAATATCCTCGGACCAAAATACATGAATGCATTCATTCCAGACATTTGTTGGAGAATCTGCAGTGTGATACCAAGGAGAAGTAGCTGCCTTGCGCGTCCATGCAGCAATTCCCGCCAATGAAGGTCACCGAAGGCCTTGACACAAGGCCGCAGGAGGCAGAAGAATGTCTCCTGCCCCTCTAGAAGACATCTATGACTCCGTCTATGACCCGTCTATGACATCTGTGGCCCCGGGCCTTGGCCTCCTCGTGGCTTCGTTGGATCTCTGCCAGTTCGGATTCGGCCTCCGTTTCATCCCGCACAAGTCTTAGGGCCTCCAGCGCCTCATCGTTGCGACCCTGCTGCACGAGCCACCGTGGGGATCTGGGCATGAAGGGCATCAGGAGGAGTAAAGCGACTGCTGGCACCATCTGGATTGAAATCGCCCAGCGCCAGCCATTCGGCTCTCTGTGAACGAGCCCGTGGTCGATGAGGGCAGCAAGGAGAATCCCCGCTGTAATCATCAACTGGTATATGGAGGTCAAGCACCCTCGCAAATTGGACGGTGCCAGTTCGCTTTGGTACAGGGAGACCACTGTGCTCAGGAGCCCAATTGAGAGTCCTGAAACGAAGCGGCCCCACAGCATCATGAGGATTGAGTCGGAGAGTACTTGCATGCAACTGCCAGAAAGGAAAATGGCAGACCCAAGGATAATGGAGTTTCTTCGCCCCCAACCGTCCAAGAAGTAGGAGCTCAGCAGCGGAAGTGAAGAAACAACACAGCCAAGAGAGAAGACGCCGACAATGAATCCTGTACGTTGTAGGGCATTGCAGGATGTTTTGATGGACAACGCAAAACGAAAAAAAATCCCTGTTTTTCGATGTTCCCAGATCCCTGCGTGCTGACAGCAAGACCTGAAGTGTAGTCATCGATCTTGGAACGAGGGTTTTGCCAGTCAGCCATGTGGGCCACATCTCGTTTGAAGGATGCACACTCCAAGATTGGAGCGATGTATCCTCACAATGACGAGGAGCACCCTGATGCTGCAAGATTTGGCATCAAGTGTTCCACAACAACCAGCCTATGTCCAGTCCAAAGAGAAGGGCACCCAGTGCTGACAGAACTGCAACAAGGCTTGCTCGGATTCTTGGATTCATCACCTCAGTTCACGCTTAATGTTGCTTTTGCAGCTGTCGGCCAGGAGAAATAATGCAGCACACAGCTACGGGGTAATTGGCACGAATCCGGGTGCAGGCTAAGCAGCAGCGGACAGGGGCCTAAATCAAAGACCTCGCACAGCTTTGCTGTGCGGACTATGGCCAGAAGCTATCGGAGCGGCAGTCAACCAGTCCAACGCGTGATGCTCATGTTCATGCCTCCGTTTCAATCTGTTTCACTTCAGTTTTACTCCTTCAACAACAGCAGCCATGCCAGAAGACTGGGAGCAGATCCTGCTTCCGTCATGCGTGGCTGCACCTGTTGGTGCACCACTGGGTAGAGCAGGACCGATGGCGCGCAAGCGAACCTGGCAGTCCAGTTAACAGATGGAAGGGGTGGCGTACAGAAGGGCAACCCCTTTGCCGGAACTGACATCTGACCTCCGCAGTTCTGAGAGTTCTGTACACGATGCAACCCCATGCTGGCCCACAAGACGGCAGGTAGAAACAAGACCCACGCCGTGCAGTGGTCAAAAAACATGGCACAAACACAAACTCTCCAAACCCAAGCAGGCCGCATTGACCTCAAACATATCTCAAGTTCCTTTGTTTCGACCGTCACCCCCTGGTTCACCCGTATCTCGTGATGGCTTCTTTCGGGCTTCGAAGGATCGCACTCATCAATGATTCCCACTAAAGAGCGAGCATCTCTATGCAACCGCAGTGACTGACGACATCACCGATAGGTTAGAGTACCACAACGCAAAATTCATCAACCAAATTTGAGCTGCAAAGCTTCGGAAAAACTAGATGTGTGGCAAGTTTCTTGATCGACATTATGGGAAGCAACACCTGCAGTATGGGCTGCCTATGCTGCCTTGCGCATGTCAGGAAGGCTGGACGTGCCGGAAGTACCCAGAAGGATGGCAAGTAGCCGACGTAAAACACGCCGAAAACTTGGGAAGCGATGTGAGAAAACCTTACAGACACTTTGTCAAGGGTCAGCCGGCAGACTCCCTCTCGGCTGTCATTTCTTGAAGCTCGGGTCGCAGCGAAATTGGTGATGAGCCATCTGGCATCGTAATGTTTCCTCTGACCAGTTCAGGTTGGAAATTCTGGTGCTGCATGAAGCATGTTTGATTTCAGCCCCATTCAACCTTGGAGCAGCAAGAGCAGAACCAGTAGAGTGACCTTACGCGACTTCTCTCTGAAGATGTTGTATGGCCATCCTCTGTCTATACTCCTGAGCTTCCTGGCCGCGGCACATTCAAAGATGCCGGTAAGCACCTTGGTCTACTGCTTGTCCGAAATGCACGTTTGAGTGTGCCCGAAGATCTTAAGGACACAGCTCTGCAGTGGGCAGCGAGGAGGATGGAGGCACTTACAAGGAAAAGAGCCCAGCGCTGGGCCCTGACACATCGATTTCAAGTATTTCCGGACCAACTGGCCTCTCCCGTCGCGCCTTACAGGCGGGGGCTCCAGCACACCGGCAATCAGTCGGGAGTACCTGTGCCAATCAAGACACAGTGGCACAACACACAAAGTAGGTGCAAGGCAAGTGTCCCTACCGCTCAGGATCTGCTGCGGCACTCAACCGAGATGAGATAAACGACCTGGGATGAAGCACAAACCTCAGCGAACCCCTTCCCACGAAAGCAGCCGAGTGACGCCAGTATATGCCATCAAGAAGGCCCAGCCGCCTGCGTCGAGACCAACCGGACACAACTGACACGACTGTGCCATTCCACCATGGACCTGCAAACGTCGCAGGCCCCATGATCTCGCCAAGGACGAACCCCATCAGAACTCTCACAGTATACTTCGGAAGCCTCAAGACAGACAGTCTAGCAGCCTAGCATCTTGTCACACACCTGCCTCCTTCTCTTCTCTGGCAAACCTGACGCTCAAGGCCATGCAGAATGCGGCGATATGACGATATGAGAGTACTGACTTGCAAACTGACCACACATGGAAGATTTTCAGTATAAAGGAACCGCATGGTGCAAGGAAAACCGTCGAAACCAAGGTCGCAAAAACGAGCTAGCAAGTCCCAGCTCAGAT